CTGCCCAGGCCTGTCGCGCCACCCAGCGTGGAAATGGTGATGTGATACTGCGGATACATCATATTAGCAGCATCCTCGACTAGGATGCTTGGCGTACATGCCGTTGCACGCGATAGAGACCTTATCACCCGTCGGTCAGGTCGAGCTGACGGACGAAACGAGATGCATATGAGGAACCAGGGCTCGTTGATTCATCCACACCATCCACCCCAGACAGATCCCATTGCGGGAAACCTCTCGACGGCTGGCTGAATTCCAATATTAGCGCGCGCGCCTGTCAGGGATCTCATTCAGGTCCGTCTCCTCCGTACAGAGTTGGGCAGTGTCGCCGAGAGTGTCCGTTGATTCTCCATAGTATTTCGCTGCATTCTGGCTTCGCGAGCCTCAACAGCAGTCGCGGCCAGTAATTGTAATTATTAATCCGTGACTGATACCGTACAGGATCGGTTTTCGCCTCCTTACGCATCGGGCTATGGGCGATGGCGTGCCGCGTCCGATGACATCCCGCCACTCTTGGTTGGTCTGATAACTGAGACATTGAATGGTCGGGGCCTCCATTCCTTGTTCCAAATCAATCAGGTGCATCTGAGCTGGCCCAGAAGTCCAAATCGAACTGGCTGGAGATAGGACGACATGGAGATAAACCTAGCTAGCCAGACGCACATGATGATGCTGGCCTGCTTACCCATCCACTACTCCTCGATGCACCGCTCGCTTGGGTCCGGGGAGAAAGCATGTCAAGCAGCATACCATCCTCGTGACAATACCACCGACCGGGCCGTTCTATCCTTGTTCTATTGGCACGCAGAACCGCCCCGATTGAGCAAACGCGCTCACACCGAGACGACCAGTAATAATCTACTGCTCCCTGTTGAAATGAGCCTTCCGGTCTAGCCAGCCGGTCCTTTTCTTACGCACACGGGTGGCTCTAAAACCAAGCGGCTGTCTATCTATCCGCCGGTTTATCTGACGGCAGATACCAACACTTCACCCAGCACCGCTGTGCCTCACTCTATTGAGAATATGGAGACGTATTCTTGCGCCAGGATCCCTGTGTTTCCATTGTGGATAGACAAAACGTGGATACCTATTTAGAGCATGCCATATCATATCAGAGCATCATATAGGTGAGTTATCATCCAGTGGCAAACCGTATATAGAAAGGCATGTTTTCGATTCCATCAGAACAACTGGGGCGGCTTCGACTGAGAGGACCGCCTATCTGCCCGTGCCTCATTCTATTTCCAGCTTCAGAATGTGCATATGTAGCCTGGGGGTACTGATCAGAGACCAGGACAGCTCCACGAAAGAAGTCATACTCCCGGAACCGAGCACGAGCCAGGGCACTGTCCATCTAGCCGAAATACCTTTCCTCCAGCTTACAGCCCGCCCCTTGTCAGATACCTATGCATGTCACACTTGGGTTGATGATTCTGTACGTATAACACATGGAGCGTACGTAAACTGAGCCCAGGCATCCTACATACTAATAAACACATAATCAATATTGATACTCATTTCGGGTGTCGCTCATCTACACACCCCGAGCCCTGTCCCTAACACGTCTATGCACGCCCGCGAGCTAGCACTTGGACTATCTCGTAACTCGTGTATCAGCATCATGATTCCCTTAGCCTTGATAGCCATTGCGCGCGCTCTGCCGCCGGCTCTTGGGGTCACATGGACAATCACGCGTTCACTCGCCTCCCCCTCTCTCTCCCTCCCCTCCATCGACAGCCGTTGTTTCCCATCGCCACCAGAGGGCCCCTGCCGCCATTTACGCGCAGGTAGGTGCCGTCCCTTCCTGGCTCCTAAATCGTTGTATTCCTTTCTTTTTTCTGTCACGTCGCACAGACATGGGCCGCCCGGCCGGGCCTATGTACAATGCATCCCTACCTTAACTTCCATGTAGGTACACTTCAAGTAGCCGCCGCCGTTGTTGGCCGCGCTGCATGTAGGCCTGCAGCTAGGCCCTGCCTCCCCTCCATTCGTTCGCGCATGCTTGTTGGTATTTCTCTTGGGAGCTCTCGAAAGTGGCGGACCCGCGTGGCCCAGACAGCCACCGTCGCACCCTCCGTTGGGTGCATATACATGCACCCAACCCACATAAGCATAGAGCAAGAGGTGAATGCATGTACAAGATCTATCTTCATTTCATGCAACAGGGTCGTCCTTGGCGGGGGTTGGAGTTTCACGTGCCAGTTGAGAAAGCGCCGTGGGGCCGGATCAGCAAATCGTCGATAGTATCTATTTTCTTTCTTCTATAGACGCTTCAAAGCAAAAGAGACGTTGCAGATAGCTATCACATGAGAATATGACTCCTTCCACCCCCGTGCTTGGGTTTCGCCATCGCAAGTCTTTGGATCCTTCTCTCTCTCCCTCGGAAAGTCTCGGCGGATTCAGGAAACAAAGGTCAAAGGATGGTGCGGCCGACAGGTCAGTTTGATGTCGACCGCAGTCAAAACAAGAAATCCTGATGCCTGATCACATTCCAGCGCTTTTGATTGGACTTCCCTTCCGGGAGCCCAGAGCGCCACCAGGCTGAGACGCTGCGCGTGGAAATGCTCGAGCGCGGAGACGCTTCCGCGTTCCAGCGAGCTTTTGGAGAATGGGCTCTTGATGGCGCATGAAATTGGACAAGATACAATCAGCTGTAACTGGCTACGTGATTGGGTGCCGTAAACAACGTCACATTAGGCTACCGAGGCTGGGGAAACGATGTATGCGCGCAGCCGTGATTATCTATCAAGTTCTTCTAACAACTTGGACGAGAAGGCTCCGCCTCGTCTGTAGATCTTATTGCTTGGGAGAGATTCGTGCATGTTGTATGTGCGCTTTCCAGGGATGGCTTGGTCACACACACACACACACTGTACCCTCCCTCCATAAGTCTAGGAGCCGAGGACTTGCCTACCATGCGCACCGATCTTCTGGGGTAATCAGGGTCCCATCCCATTATTGTTTCATTGATGAAACTAGACGCACTGATCTCGTGGGAAGGGAAGGGAAGGGAGGGGGGCGTTAGTCGGGACGCGAGGAAGAAAGTGAGGGTGACCAACTCCCTCCCCGGCTGAAATGGAGGATGCCCATGCTGCGGCAAGGGTCGGGAACAAAGGGGAGATGGTGTCCAAGTTGGACTTTTTGGCCAAAGCCCCCCTGCCCTGGTTCCCCCCCCCCCCGTCTGCTGAGTGACTGATCGCATGCTGATCTTCACCTTGCTTGTTTGGCTTCTGCAAGAGCATGGGTCATGAGGTCGACCAGGACCCGCCCCGAGCCCTTCGAATCAGGAGTCGACTGACCCCGCCGACCACCTTGACCAAGGGTGCTTCTTCCAAGGATGTGAGCCATGCCCCATTCCATGCCCGTTAGCAGTGGATGTACTCTGCATGTACATACGTTTCGCTCTACAGATACACACGGGTCCGTATGTATGGAAGCACCGCCTTTCCCAAGACACGTTGCTTGCAAATCGCTTATGGCACTTGCTCTCTGATTATCGGCTGGCGTATGTATTTGTGTGTGATAGGTGCTACGTTGGGGCCAAAACTCCCAGAGCTTCGCCGAACATCCGGTCTCTCTCCCACTACATTCCGTAGGCCGTCTCGGTGATGGCAATGAAAGAGTCCAAGTGAGAAATGATAATATACTAACCACTATCGAACACGGGTATACCACAAAAACTCCCTAGCACTGCAACGGGCCATGTCAAAGAGGAGAAGGTGATAATCTTTTGCTGACGGGCTTGTCAAAGAAAACCCACCGCATCAAATCACATTCGCGGCCGCCCTCCGGCGTGTCAGATGAGAAAACTCGACGGCAATACCCGCCAATGGCGCAAGAGGTTTTGGGGGCTTTTGGTTACTCAAATCGTACGTCCCAGGGCTTTTTTGGATCGAATGGTGATGTGACAATTGTCCTTATTTCCCTTCGCCCTTGACCTGGTGAGGTAGCACTTTATGGTACTGGGCAACTGGCCCCTTGGATGCGGTCAGTTGGCAAGTTCTCGTGCTGCCGTACTGAACTCTCTTCACATCTACGAATGAAACTACCTTGTAAGCTGCATGTAAGCCTTGGGCATATACCCAAAAGCCAAAAGTGACACCTTGGCTGTTGACGCATGACGGATGGATGATAAGATCCTGACAGGATCTCGGCGCCACTTGTGACCATTCTTTTACACACGGAGGAGTTCCGTTTGGCATCTGGATCGAAGCGCTGGTTTCGCACCACGCAGTCACAGCATGCCCGCAGCTGAAAACAGAAACTCGGTGCATGCTTCGTGCAAAGTTGTGCCAACCCAGAACCAAACCCAGTCAGACCGAGGGACTCCTGGACGGGGTTATTGATGTGAAATGTGATCGCCGAGCCTCGGCCATACAATGGCCCAAGGGATGTCCTTGTTTCCTAAAGGAACCCCCTCTTCGAGACAGTAGCACTGAGGCCGGCCAGACCATTCGGCCTAAGCATCTCGATCTAATGCGCATTGACGTACTTGGGTTCCGTCAACAAGCCTGTTTCAAGACAAAGAGTGGAAGGGTCGGTGAGGAGTTGATGCATCAGCATACCAAATGGCGGCGAGTGAAAATCATCCGTGTCAGTTGGTATGACTCAATCGAAAAAGGCATGCATCAATGGGTACTTCGTCGTCGCCCAAAAAAAACTTGATCAGAATCAGATATCAAAACATCTTTGAACAACCAAGCGCCTGACGTAAACATTCCATACCAAAGCTCTATTCACGCAAGTCAGGGACCTTATTTCTTTATCGATAATACCAAACACAATAATAAGAAAATTACAGATTATTATACTATAATATTGAGCTTGATATTACATTCATTACTAATTATGATATTATGTTGATATTGTGTTGAAATTCAACATTGGAGGTTCTGGGTGTGCCATGTTTTATGTCAGTCACTTGGCAGCGTAGAGTGAGTACCAGACCATTGAGCATCATGATGTGCCGTCTGCTCCAGAGTCAGAGCAGAGAATCACAGCTAATAGTGGCGGGCATGCCCAACAATAGCAGCAATACTTCGCAAACCCTCGACCTGAATGATGATATCTCCTTCCCCTTCCCCTTCCCCTTCCCCTTCCCGTGGCTGGCGATCAAATAGATCAGCAAATTCCAGGCGCAGTGCACCCCCGGTGACACGATAGGATTCAGCAAGGAGCGGATCTGCATCCGAGACCCTTGTGATGTTAATTGTTTGTTGAAGATGCGGCGATAGACCAGAGTTGTCCGCTAAAGCCCGAAGAGTCATTGGGCCGGAACGTCGCTCAGGTAGACGTTCTCGCCACATTTCGATAGTTATCTCTTGCCGTGACGGAGGGTGTATCTTGACAAGAAGGACTACTTTGACCTTGTGATTTGACTCGCTGAACCACCACTTCAGCTCTCGCCTCAAGGCTTCAAGTGACTGCGAGTATCCAGCTTCAATGACAAGCGTGGGCCAGGCTCGATCCTGTGGCTCACACGGGCGTCCACTCGAATCGCCCTCCCCAGCTGCTCCGCCAGGTTGCCGCTTGTATGTTGCACCACCGCATGGAAGCCATCCAAGCCCCATATCATCGATTCGTCGCCTTATCTGATAGTTCAGTTCTCTGTGCATATATTCAAGACACTCGGTTGGAATGATGATAATGAGCAGGGACTGTTCTGGGTAAAATCGCCTAAATCGATACTTCCGTCCTTTTGACTCTCTATACTTGTCAAGAATATCATATACTTGTGGAGTTACATCTAAGAAATATCCTTGGATGTTAGTCTGATGCTAAGTCTAACTGTTTGTTTTGATTTTCTTTACCTTGCACGTAGAGCACATCTCCTTCTGTCGCATCAATAGTTTGAGTAAGAAGCCGAGCCGTCTTGAATTTGACCAAAGGCAGCTCCTCGGATTCGATCAATGAAATAGTTGTAGGGCCAGTAACAGACATAGTCGCTTGAACCCGCCTGTGAGGTGTACGTGTGGAGAAAGTCGCAGGGATTATTGAGAAATCAGAATCAAGTGCAGTCAACTCGACAGACCTATTGTACAATAATAAGCAAACAATGTTCCCTAAAAATTACTCAATAATTTATTCTCTGATTATTACTCACTATTGTCTACCAATATTGTAGCTTGTACTGGAAACTTCCATGAGATAAACACTTTGCAGTCGCTGTTGTTCTGACACCCATTTGAGAAAAGTGGAACTTGAGGCTCGTTTTGACCAATTACGGTAGTGGGAGGATATTGCTTATCGATAGGCGAGGTTGGAAATCAAGCATCGAACTTTCATCCACCACAAGCTTCTTCACATATCCAAACCTGGAGGAGGCGTGCGGCCCAAAACACAGTAATTAAAATGACGAGCCTTAAAAGATCTGTTGATAGCGATGTTTTCGCGTCAAACATCTCCAACAAAACCTACGTGCGGTCAACCCGAAGTGGCAAGGTCCAGAAAATTGTGAGAGAAGTCTATCTCAGAACCGATATCCCATGCTCCTCCAAGCTCTGCAAGGCTTGTCTTGCGGACGCGCCTAGGAATGCCGCCCAAGAAGGTGAGTCCCCAATAGCTGAACTTCCCTTTACCTGTTACTCGACTCTAACCTCCGCCCAGCCCAGCCATTTGTGCTGTCAGAGAAGCCAGCCGGGACCAAGGCTTTCCCCCAGGGACACTACCTGGTGCCAGACACAAACGCTGTTCTCAACGCAATGGATCTTTTTGAACAGACGTCTGCGTTTTACGATGTCATCATTCTGCAGACTGTCCTGGAAGAGCTGCGCAACAGGTCTCTACCTCTGTACAACCGGCTTGTAGGTTTGACCAAGAGCGAGGACAAGCGATTCTATGTCTTCTTCAACGATTTTCGGCAAGAAACCTATGTTCAGCGGGGTCATAATGAGACCGTCAACGATCGTAATGATCGTGCTGTTCGCAAGGCTGTCAAGTGGTACGCCGAGCATCTGGCTCAGACAAAGACCAAGTCGATACCTGCCGTTGTGATGCTCAGCAACGACAAGGAGAACCTTCACAAGGCCAAGGAGGACGGACTAAACGGATCGACTCTACGCGAGTACGTCAGCACATTGGAGGATGGCGATCGTCTCCTGGACATGGTTGCCGAGGTCGAGAGCTCAGGGGGTTTCCAGAAGCAGGGCCAGATGCTGTACCCCGAGCACTTTTCCGTGTCCAAGATGATGACGGGAGTCAAGGCCGGATTGATGCATCAAGGCATATTCAGCGTGTCTCCATACAACTACTTGGAGGGCTCCATCAAAGTTCCTGCATTCCCAAAGCCTTTACTGATTCTTGGCCGCGAGAATATCAACCGAGCTATCGACGGCGATGTTGTTGTCGTCGAGGTCCTCCCACAAGACCAGTGGAAGGAACCTTCTACCAAGATTATTGAGGAGGAAGCTATCACAAAGAATGAAAACGCCGATGCTGAGGGTAGCCAAGACTTAGTGTCAGAAAAGGAGCGCAAGGCTCTCCAGGATGAGGTCAAGAAGACGCAGAAGGGCTCCTCCGAAGGTCGACCACAGCCAACAGCCAAGGTCGTTGGTGTGGTAAGGCGCAACTGGCGCCAGTATGTTGGACACATTGACCCCTCTTCGGCAAGCAGGGCAACAACTCAGGGGCGTAAGCAAGACAACGTCTTCCTCATCCCAATGGACAAGAAGATCCCCAAGATCCGGCTACGTACACGCCAGACCTCAGAGCTACTTGGGAAACGGCTGCTCGTCACCATCGACGCCTGGGAGAGAGATTCAAGACACCCCGTCGGCCACTTTGTCCGCTCCCTGGGAGAGCTGGAAACCAAGGCTGCCGAAACCGAGGCTCTTTTGCTGGAATGGGATGTCCAATATCGACCGTTCCCCAAGACAGTTCTTGATTGTCTGCCCAAGGAAGGCCACGACTGGAAGGTGCCAGCCAGCACCGAAGACCCAGGTTGGAGAGACCGTGAGGATCTCCGTGATCTTCTCATTTGCAGTATCGATCCTGTTGGTTGCCAGGATATTGACGACGCGTTGCATGCACAGAAGCTTCCGAATGGAAACTTCCAAGTTGGTGTTCACATTGCGGATGTCTCCAACTTTGTGAGGCCGGCCAATGCCATGGACACTGAAGCAAGCATTCGAGGCACAACAGTTTACCTTGTTGATAAGCGTATCGACATGCTTCCCCCGCTGCTCGGAACAAATCTCTGCTCTCTCAAGCCTTACGTCGAACGGTATGCCTTTTCCGTTCTTTGGGAACTCAACGAGAACGCCGACATCGTCAATGTACGATTTACCAAATCTGTCATCAAGTCCCGCGAGGCATTCAGCTACGAGGAAGCACAAATAAGAATAGATGATGAATCGCAGCAGGATGACCTCACCAAGGGCATGAGGATGCTGCTCATGCTCTCCAAGAAGCTCAAGCAGAAGCGCATGGACGCCGGCGCCCTCAGCCTGTCGTCCCCCGAAGTCAAGGTCCAGACCGAATCCGAGACCTCGGACCCCATCGACGTCAAGACGAAGCAGCTCCTCGACACAAACTCCCTGGTCGAGGAGTTCATGCTGTTCGCCAACATCAGCGTCGCCGCCAAGATCTACGATGCGTTCCCCCAGACCGCCATCCTTCGCCGCCACGGCGCCCCCCCCAAGACAAACTTCGACGAGCTCTCTGAGCAGCTCCGCATCAAGTGCGGCATGGAGCTCCGCACCGACTCGAGCAAGGCCCTCGCCGACTCCCTGGACCGCTGCGTCAAGCCGGGCGAGCCCTTCTTCAACACCCTCGTGCGCATCATGGCCACCCGCTGCATGATGAGCGCCGAGTACTTCTGCTCAGGGACCCAGGCGTACCCCGAGTTCCGCCACTACGGCCTCGCCTCGGAGATCTACACCCACTTCACCTCCCCCATCCGCCGCTACGCCGACCTCCTCGCCCACCGCCAGCTCGCCGCCGCCATCGACTACGAGGCGGTGCACCCGTCCGTCCGCAGCCGGGGCCGCCTCGAGGCCGTGTGCAAGAACATCAACGTCCGCCACCGCAACGCGCAGATGGCCGGCCGCGCCTCCATCGCGTACTACGTCGGCCAGGCCCTCAAGGGCAAGGTCGCCGAGGAGGACGCCTTCGTCATGAAGATCTTCAGCAACGGCTTCGTCGTCCTCGTGCCGCGGTTCGGCATCGAGGGCCTCATCCGGCTGAGGGACCTGGCCGAGCCCGAGCCCGAGAGCGACTTTGACGCCGAGTCGTACACGCTGACCACGTCGGGGAGCAGGGAGGTCAAGGTCGAGCTGTTCCAAAAGGTCAAGGTTAGAGTCCACGACCACAAGGATGAGGCGACAGGGAAGAGAGGTGTGAAGATGGAGTTGATTAGCGCATAAAAGGGGGGAGTAGTCAGGAATTGATAGAAAGTTTAGCAAAAGTTCCGAGTAATGTCACTTGCAAGTATAGGTAGAGTCTTTACAAAGAGGCATAAAGAGTTTTTTTTTACCAAAATCTAGTTCATTTGTATATTTTGTTCCCAGCCAAGCCTATGAACGCCATACCAGCATGTTATATGAAAAATCCTCATCATAAAAAACAACCACTCGTTCGTAACACGAGATGGCGCAAAAAACCAATCTGCAACTTTTTCGACTACTGCTCCATGGCGTCATCCTTGCCAGCCTCGTTGTCGCCCCAGAGTCCCTCAAGCTTGAACTCGGCGGCCCACTCCGTGACAATCTGCTTCTGGTCGGCCATGACCTCCTCCTCGCCTGCGTTCTTGATCTCACCCTTCGCTTGCGTCTTGGATGAGTCGACGGCAAGAACGGGGGGCTCAACCCATCCCTGGATACGGCCGTCACGCCAGTCGGTGATGACTGCCATGGCAGCAGCGTTCAGGTTGGGAATGCCTCCCCTTCCGAGGCGGCCGCGCTTGCGGGCCACTTGTACAAGGAAGTCGCTGGTGATATCGCCGTCAGCCTTGCTAGGGAGGAGAGCAGCGATGTCATAGACATCATTGAGCTTCTGCAAGAGGTCGGGGGAGGCGGAAAGGCGGCGGATAAGGAGGTTGACGGCAGGGATTGGGTCGTCGATCTGCTTAGGTGGCACAGCGTTGAGAAGGACAAGGTGAGCATGCGCTTCAGTTGCGTTCTTGAGAGAGACAAGGCCAGCCGAGTGTGAGGAAGAGGAAGAGGGGAAGACGACACCAGGTGAGTCAAGCAGAGTCAGCTTGCTGTCGATCTTGACCTTGCGTATGCTCGTGGTCACACCAGCCTCGGCTCCGGCAGGGCATGCCTTGTTCGAAGCACCGCCCTTTCCACTCAGTCGTCCCAGCAAGGCGTTGATGACGGAACTCTTGCCCACATTGGGGTATCCAATCACACCAACAGAGACTGCGCGCTTCAATTGGCGGCTCGTGGCATAGCTCTTCAATGCCTTGAATAGGTCAGCCGACGTGCTCTGCACAGTGAGCTCGCGGTGATTGAAGGTATGGGCATTTGGAGCAGGGTTTGATGCTCGAAGAGGAAGTGTTGGGAAGTAACGGCGAAGGTAGATGAGCCAGTCGCGCAGAACCTTCGGGGGGACCAGATCACATTTGTTCAGAATTAGTATCAGTCTTTTTCCGCCAGAAGCGGCAGCCATGACACTTCGTTCCACATCTCTTGAGCGGGTGCCTTCGGGGTCACGAGCATCCAGAACGTAGAGCACGACATCTGCCTCCTCTACAACCTGCTTGAAGACCTTGTCGTAGGTTTTCCGGGATGAGGCCTGGCCAATAGACATTCGCTCGCCATCGTTGACCGACTCATCGCTGTCGCTATCCTCGTCCATGGCATCGTCATCGGCGAGCTTTCGATCATAATTCTCGGCCGCAGCCCTGGCGCTGGCAAGCAGGGCGGCCATGGGGTTCGACTCATCGATGTCCTCATCCATGCCGTCGTCATCGTCCACATATTCTTCTCCGCCATCAGTAACGATCCTGTCCATTCCCTCGTCGGCATCCTGCTCGCCGCCAGTCTGGGCAGCTTTGACCATCTCTTTTCTTCGCTGAGCCTCTTCCTTCTTCCTCAAGCGCTGTTGCTCGATCTCTTCAAGAACCCTCTCCTTGTAAGGGAACAAGTTGGGAATTCCAGGGTCCTTCTTCAACTTCGACCTCCATTCTGGGTTCTTCTTGGCGAGCTTGCGATCCTTCCTCTGCTTGGCCGCGGACGCTTTTTGGATTTTATTGCGGAGGCGGGTGGTACCTCGCTTGGACTTGGGCTCTGTAAGTTGGAAAAGTTAACAAAAGCTCATTCTGATGTGTCGCGCCATTGCGCTTGGCTGAATCCTACTCTTTGGGTTATTAATTGTTCCTGCCATTGTGAATTTTCTGCGGCGAGAATGGCCGATCTCACAGTCTTCACAGCTTGGTGGATTAGCGACAGGCAACTTGGACGCCCAAAAAATTATTCAGAAAATTCCCATGTCTGATGTGGGGTTGCCATTCTGCCACAAAGATAATCCACATTTCCCTCACCGCCTCTATTTTCCAGGGTGGGTCGATGAACTGATAAGAAGATAAGCACTCGAGTGGGCATCATGGAAGACAAGACCGCCGCGAATTCAAGTAGGATCTCAAATACAATAAACAACAAGGGGAAAGTGGGTATTTCTGTTGAATATATTTTGTACCAATTATTTTGCTCAATGTCCATCGAAAAATGCTACTCAAATCTGTTTGGAAAAGCTAAGTGTAACGTTCCAGTGTGCCACTGTATATGCCACCCACCTGCCACATGCTGTTGCACTCCGATCACCGGGGCAGGACTCGGACCTGCTGAGCTCCATGTCTATATACCAACCAGCGGGCACTGGTTAACAGCAGATTATCTCAGCGATTGGCCCATCCAATAAAACATATTGTCTCCAACTCCATATCTCATCGCGATCTGACCACTATCTTCTCCCTAATTTCGGCGTAACAAGATGGCAGATACATCAGCCGAGCGTCTGGCCCGCAAGCTGCAGGACGCCATATCCAAATACATAGAACAGAACCAAGTATCCAAGGCTCTCCATGAAGAGGCTTTGGCCAGTCTGCCCGGTGGAAACACCCGGACTGTTCTTCATACAGACCCTTTCCCACTGTGCATCAAATCAGGCAAAGGGTATCAGGTCACCTCAGAGGACGGAAGGGTGTAGGCCGGTCCCAACACATCCATTCTTCATGGAAAGAAAGGCGACTAACTGGCTGCAGTTACACTGACCTAATCGGGGAGTTCTCTGCAGCTTTATATGGCCACTCCAACGACAAGATTATCGGAGCTATCGAGAAGACAATCCACGGCTCTGGCTTAAACATTGGCGGTACGACTTCGCAGGAGAAGCTCTTCGCACGCCAACTGTGTGACCGCTTTCATCTTGAGAGAGTACGCCTCGCCAACTCGGGTACCGAGGCCAACTTGCATGCCCTAGCAGCTGCAAAGCTCTTTACCGGGAAGAAAAAGGTTGTGGCCTTCAGCAACGGATATCATGGCGGTGTCCTGACCTTCTCCGGGGATAAGCCAGCTGCCAACAACGTGGATATCGAGGACTGGGTTGTTGTCAAGTACAACGATCTAGAGGGTGCTCAAGAAGCCATACGAGGGGAGGGCGTAGCCGCTGTGATTATGGAAGGTATGCAAGGTGCCGCTGGCAGTATAGCTGGGACGCCCGAATTCCTCCACGGGGTACAGAAGGCTGCAAAGGATGTAAGTTGGTCAAGTTTGGCCTTCCTAACTGTATAAGTCGGACACTGATTCAATTTGTAGGCTGGCATTATCTTCATTCTCGACGAGGTCATGACTTCAAGGATGTCAACAAACGGTCTTGCACATCTTCGCGGGCTAAAGCCCGACCTAAAGACTCTCGGAAAGTACTTGGGTGGCGGTTTAGCATTTGGCGCCTTTGGCGGTAGAGAGGACATCATGGCTATTTTCGATCCACGATCGCCGGGGTCGGTTTCCCACTCAGGTACATTCAACAACAACACACTTGTCACTCGCACAGGCTACGTCGGCCTCACAGAGATATATACTCCTGAGCGTGCTCAGGCGTTCACCGATACTGGGGAGGATCTGAGACGGAGGCTCAATGAGGCTGCCAAAGGGACCCGAGTCTGCTTTACAGGTGTAGGTACTCTCATGACCGTCCACTTCCCCGTAGACGGAAACCGTGACTTCATTCGAGCCGACAGCATTGAGGAGGTAGCTGCGCTCAGGGACTTGTTCTGGTACGAGATGCTAGACCAGGGCTTCTGGCTCGCCCGTCGAGGCTTCATGGCCTTTATTCTCGAGACCCCACCAGCTGAGTTTGATCGGTTTGTCGAAGCTGTAAGGCATTTCATATCAAAGTACAAGGAATTCGTTTTATTATAAAATTTTAGAAAAAATTATACGTCATAAAATTTCGTTTGATGTCTGCTGCTAGTTGAGATCAAGTTTGATGGTGTTGAAGCGCGTCTGCGTCTCTCCGATATTCTGCCGGCGCAATACCTTGCTCGAATGGGCCAGTAGCACCTTCAAACTTTCAAACTTCATCACGGGCCATAGAAAATCACCCGAACGACACAACACGATCCTACATAAACCTACCTCACCACAACCCAGATAAACCGCACAGTACACCCAATCAGCCATGGATTTTCAAAATCGTGCCGGTTCGAAGTTCGGAGGAGGCGGCGTGGCCTCCCAATCAGCCACCAACGCCGACCGCCGCGAGCGCCTGCGAAAGCTCGCCCTCGAGACCATCAACCTCGACCAGGACCCCTACTTCTTCAAGAACCACGTCGGCTCCTTCGAGTGCCGCCTCTGCCTGACCGTCCACCAGAACGACGGCTCCTACCTCGCCCACACCCAGGGCAAGAAGCACCAGACCAACCTCGCCCGCCGCGCCGCCCGCGAGCAAAAGGAAGGGAAACGCGAAGGCCAGAACGCCATCGACCCGGCCACGGGGCTTCCCATCGGCGTCGCCGCCCCGCGCCGCAACCTCGTCAAGATCGGGCGGCCGGGCTACAAGATCACCAAGATCCGCGACCCGACCACCCGCCAACAGGGACTGCTATTCCAGCTTCAGTACCCGGAGGCCGAGCCGGGCTCGCCAGCGCCCAAGTGGCAGGTCATGAACGCCTTCGCGCAGCGCGTCGAGGAGCCGGACAGGAACTACCAGTACCTCCTCGTGGCCGCCGAGCCGTACGAGACGGTGGGGTTCAAGATCCCCGCCCGCGAGCTCGACAAGCGCGACGACCGCCAGTTCAGCTTCTGGGATCCCGATGCCAAGGAGTACTGGATCCAGATCATGTTCATGACTGAGCGTGAAGAGAGGTACAATGCCGCGCCTGGTCTCGGGCCCAGGTCATGAGCGACTACTACCGTGCCAGGAAAAAAAAAGTAAATGAAAAAGAAAGATTCCGGCTGGCAATCTCCACAGACATGCCAAACCGCGTGGTCATCAAAACACATGCTCATTCACAGCATGTCGAGTCATATATCTCGTGTCTCTCATCTTGGCGCCGGAAAATTCTGGATGGGATGGGCATTTACCTCTGTCCCATCATTATACCCTCCGGCTTGTAGAACCAGCAACGCAATTAGGAGGCAAGATAATTAGCACTCGCCACAGAATGGAACATACAGAATGGAACAGAACCAAGTAAGGATTCTTGCCGTCAGTGGCAACTTGGAAAGCCAGCCAGCTAATTATTCGCAAGGATGCTGGCAAATAATCATAAATAGCCTCTTGCCAAGCGCAGCGACCTCGCAGCTTCGCGGCATGTTACAGGTTCTGTATTTCGTACATAGGTTTTCTCTTTTGAATAGATACCCCAAAAAGAAACTAGAAATTTCACCACACATTCATGTTACAGGTGTGCGTTTCTCCACCATTCCTATGTGTATGGCTCTTGTGAATCAATTATATAGCCCCAGCCTTGTTTAGCTCATTACTTCACTGCCCGGACTATTCTGATTATGGATTTAAGAATCTTCATTTTCGCCGAATACAACGTATATGCATGCTTTCGAGAATAGACTCGTGTATTTTGAATGTTTTTGGATCATAGGCGTAAGGACTATCATATTACAAGTTGTGTCAATTCCATCCATGCCTATATCAGCGTCCCCCCTCCTCTGAACAGCTTGCCAAGTGAGACAGCCAAGATTCTGGCAAGTGGTCGCATTGGCTTGGCCGCCATTACCGCGAGTTGTTATCAAACCGCTTGAATGTGTAGCCAATGAAAGGAAGGCTCATCTCAGGCGACTCCTCTGGGGCGTTGCGTCCCTGTGAGATAGCCTGCGCCTTCAATATCGTTGCATTGTCCGTCTGGTCGATCTCATCCGTAGGGAAGTAGGTGGTATCAATGTTCGATGTCAATCTTGGCTCGAAGGGGGCGCGGATGCGACGCAGGCTGTCAAAGTCTACACCGCGGAAGAAAGCGTGGCTCTTGATCTCATGAGCACCACCACGGCCAAGTCGGTTTTCTGTATTACAGACCATGCTATTTTCGCGAGTTAGTAAGAAAGCCTTGGAGTTGGCCATGCCTGCAGATCCACATACCTTCGAATGAGGTTCTCAGCTTGAACTCCCAAGGTGATATCATCAGGGAAGTACAGAGTTTGTCTCCAGTTCACAATCTTGCGGTAAGTATCATGGCTGTCCTCGGCGCAGAAGGGGGGCCATCCGACAAGACACTCAAACATGATAGTTCCAAGAGACCACCAATCGCAATCGTATGTGTAACCGTGGCCGGTGAAGATTTCAGGAGCGATATAGTCAGGGGTACCGACAGTAGAGTATGCCATCAACCTGCGGGAGCGACGCCAGTCATTGATCTGGGATCGGTTGCTGACAGTTAAGTTAATCTGGTCAAGCGCAACAGAGTTACGGTCACGAGGTCTGTTAGATTTCCCTTGCAAGAGCTGTTGGTAGTAGTTGTTATCGTGGAGCTTGTGGAAGCCAGTGGATAAACCAAAATCAGTCAACTTGACGTGACCTCCACGATCGAGAAGAATATTATCGGGTTTGATATCACTAGGTTTGTAAAGTAAGAATGGCGAATCGCTCATGCGGATGTCTGAGAAATATAGCCTTACCGGTGAATAAATCCAAGCTTGTGCACAGCATCAATAGCGAGAACAATCTCAGCAATATAAAATCGGGTAATGTCCTCGGAGAAGATCTCGTACTTGATGAGCATTGTCATCAAATCTCCACCAGGCAAGAACTCCATAAGCATGTAAAGGAAGTAGGAATCCTGGAATGTGGTGTACAGCTTGACAACCCATGGACTGTCGGACTCGGCAAGGATATCACGCTCGGCACGCACGTGCGCGAGCTGGTCCTTCTTGAACATTTCCGTCTTGATGAGAGACTTCATGGCATAGACCTTTCCGTCGCCCTTCTTCTGGACCAGTTTCACTTCACCGAATGCTCCCTTACCGATAATCTTGACGGTGTTGTAGTTCTCGGGCTTATCCTTGGTTCGCAGGAAACGAAGATACTGGCCTTCCTTGCGCCCGGCGGTGGACCATAGCTGCTCCCTCCTAGCAGGATTCTGGCCAGGGTCTCGTAACTTCTGTTCCAGTTCACTTTGTCTATAATGTGCCAAGAATATGGTTAGCGTCGGCAAATAAAATATAAAAGGTCAAGAAGTCAAGTTGTTGGGCATCATTTTTGCCAGTGGCACGTACCTTTGGTTTCGCTCTCTCGCTCGTTTTACACTGTCCATAAAGAAGCCCTCTGCCAACTGATAACACTTCTTCTGGTTGCTATTCGCATTGGTCCCGTACTTGTCTGGGTTTCTCTGCGGTGCAGCTTGGAATTCGGGGACAGGAGCGGCACTCTGTGCGGGCAAAGGAGGGGTGGAATAGTTGTTATAGGCAGGTTGCGGTTGGGAAGAGCCGCCGGCAGTTCGTGGTCTCTGGGCAGGAGAAGGCCCTCTGGCGTAGGCGGCATTTCGGGCTGCCCCTCCTAAGTTCTGATGCGAGAACTGGTGTGCCAAACCGGTGTTGGGGTCATTGGTGCCCGGTGTGTTTGATCGTGGCTGATACTGGCCTCGAGCGTTGGGATCATCGTGCGATTGGGCATTATACTGCTGCTGGTACTGGCCCTGGTGGAAGTATCCCTGGGGAGGATACTGACCGTGAGAACCGCCGTAGCCTTGTTGCTGTGGGTGGGCGCCAGCAGCTTGCTGGCCGCCCTGTGGAGGATAGACGGGCTGGGGGAAGGACGAGGGCGTCGTGGGATACGCTCTGCTGTCAGCAATGGGCAGCCTCTGATTATTGCTGTCGAAGTTGAGGTGCAAACGATTGTTGTTGGGATCCATGGTGAATGTCTAGCAACCAGAACGAGGGGAAGAAAGGGGATGTGGGGGATTGTCGAAGCAGTTGAGATGTCGGGTGCGAGGCGAGGTGTCTATTAGCGGGGGAACACGCTGTACCAGGCCCAATCCAGCGGCGAGGGATGCCAAGCAGGAGACTGCACGTATGGCTTGAGGACCTGATGAGGCCCAAGATATCCCCTATTCCAGCCGAATGGCAAGCACAAACCGATCCAGCAGGGTGGTTGTCGAGCAAGGTTGGCGCAGAGGAAAATTGCCCGAAAAGCAATCCGTGTGTAGCAGGTAGTCGGCGTGGAGTGGTGTGGTAGCACGCGATAGCGGTCAAGGTGGGAGAGGAGGAGGGGCTTTGGGCTGTGGTGACGGGTTCAGGGGCCCTGTAGAGCGGTTCAGCAACCAACCTGGCAGACAAGACCGAGAGTCATGGGTAGCAGTGCCTGGACTGGTAGCACGGACAGTCTCAATTCTATGTAAGAGGGGACTCGTACCTGAAACTCGATCGACCTCCAGCACCTCGGACAAGGACCAGGACAAGGACGGGAAATACAGGTGAGGAGGTGGAGAGCCGCCAGGCGAGGGCAGACGAAGAGCCTGATGAGCTTCAGGGAGTCAGGGTCAGCACTACGGAGCACCCAACCCAATCCAAACTGCTGCTAAGGAGGCGGGGCAGAAGCAACGACGGGTGGCCGGGGCTGCAGCCGCCCATCATCCTGTTCAGTTAGTATTGCACTCACTGGACGGAGCCCTATTGTTACCGCCAGGCAGAGGCCGATGAACACCAGCGGCCCAGCCCCCCACTAAGAGCGGACCGTGCTTAGCTGTCGTTGGACCAATGTTTTACCACCGAAGGGGGCTAAAATGGCAAGTTAGCGGGCGGTGGAACGCCTCGAGCCTTTCCTTTTAGGTACTCTGCTCCTAAGCAAGTCCTGTGTCCAATAATTCCATTATCGATATACACTTGCTATACATTGTTGATACGCCCATTCACTCAAGCAGCAGCCCAGCCCCAATCCTTTCGGATAAGGTTCAGTTTATGGAGCTGTTAAATCTCCTTCCAGATAATCCCTACTCGGCCGATTACCAACAGGGAAGACGCATCCAATCTCGCTAGCATATCCCAGAACTAAACCATGGGCTTCGAGAGCCCCCAGGGTCAAATATCACACACATTGAGGCGGGTATCAAGATAAACGTACTGATCGGGTCCAAGACTTGCCAGTAAGCCTAGTGATCAAATGGAATCATTTCAGAGGCATTGTCTCCTTCTAGGGCCTGCCAGCCCTGCTGTGGCGTATGCAAGACTTCGGAGCATTAACGATAAGATGATCTCATTGATCCTCCGAGGAGAAGCATTTATAGGGAGAACGGCTCGAACATTTACATTTGCGGTAAGATGTCAGCGCGTTCCGGCCCGACGACATTACCGGGAGCCGTCATCCAAGGCCCAGCGACTGACAGCCGCTGATCAGAGGGGGCACGAGAAATTAGCTTTTTATATGGCCGAGGAAGCAACGGGGGCATAAGCGACTATCCCGTCTTGGCAGATGGATGCCATGTGAAGAGCAGACAGGGTTGGTGATGATAGCCCAGCACACAAGTGCCAACTGTCAGGCGTTGATCATTTTCACACTCACGCTTTGGTCATGTTCCTTTTCCCTGGAGCCATCTCGGTGAACAGTACTGATGTCGCAGCCAGTCCTATTACGTCTCTGCAGGTTAAAGGGGATGGCGTCCAATGGAATACACTGGCATGGCGTCTGAGTGAGACTGGACGTTTCATCCAACGCATACCCGCTGCGTAAGAACGACCATTCGCGAACAGGCTGGAATCTGATGGCTCGATTCTCGTATTCAAATACTCCCTTGCCTCCTGCATGCCTACTGAGGTATGCACGAAATCCAGGCATGCCACAATGGCACTCAACAACTTGATACATTGGTCGCTCCGTATTCTCGATGCGGCTCCGACGTTGCATGGCACTGCGTACCCCTTGCAGAAAACGTTGCCCAGGGCATAGGTTCCAGA